GCCAAACCCCGTATCCCCCCGCGCACACAGACGCATCTATCGCTCTGACGACTAGCTAGCTTATTTCACAATATATATTGATTTTGCCAACATAGCTCATCAGATTATTTGTAACCCATACCATGTGGCGACATGGCTCGCATGCAAGACACCTTGTCCTAAAGCCGTAAAAAAATTCGTTCTGTCCAGCTCAAGTGCCTTGTGAACGCACACCTGACGCAGAGATCAGCAAACGCGTCTTTTCTTAGCCGACTGTCACTTAAAGCCAATAATACTAAAGATAGGTTATTGATTAATCTAGCTCACCTATTCTGTGGCTCTTGAAACCGTACTTTTTAGGCACACTGTGCCGTCAGTTTCGTTGGCGCACCGTTACAGAGAGATGCAATTAACGTCTACTTCGTGCAATGGCTGCCATGTCGTTGTCTACCGACACGCGCACAAAAATCTATTGCTGAAAAATCTGCTTTTTCAAAAACTAACGTCTCAATTTTATTCGAAGCTATGGGAATTGGCGCTGATTTTCCCACTTGTCTATTACGCGAAGCGCTTGAGAAAAGATAATATAGCGGCTGGCGCGTATTCAAATGCCGGATGTTTTGGCGCGCCGCACATCCGTAAATGCAAACGTTTCGAGGAGGGTCAGCTGTTTTCGACCAAAAATATAGTGCTATCCTTTCATCTGCGGCACGATATCAGCTGGACCAGCTGCTCAAACATGCATTGGAACATTAAGCTTATCTGCGGACCCGAAGCGAACATAGAGAGGAAAAGTTCGCTGCTATAAATTTCAAGTCGTTCCTCCGCTTTTGTTGCTTGAGTGGGCTCAGTTCATATATAAAAGCTATTAACTTTATTGTGTTGCCTCACATTGTGCCTCTAACAGGTCGCGCGGCCTTTGCGTAGACACAGCTGCTTCGGTGACTATTGATCGTCGTAGGGGGCGTAGGGACAATCAAACGGACGTTAAGCTATAATGGCGGTCCTTCCGATACTTAGCGGCAATTAGATCAAGACAAAAGGTGGAGTGTTCGAGGTTCCATAATAGTATGGACGAGGAAAAGACGTCAAATGAACCACCTGAAATACTACGAAAAAAAAATAGACCAACGGGACTTCTAATAAGCGACAGTTTGTGTAGATCACTCAGATCGTATCGAATCAGCATTATGTTACTAAAAAACCTGGACTGTGCGTTTTCTCTAGAGGAAACCAATTTTAGTTAGTTATAACAATAATATTTTAATACGTTTACTTTGTTTCAAAGCAGAACTAGATCGGATTCGTGCGGCCCATTGTACTGGCCTGTGAACTAACAGGACACAATGAAAACCGAATAAAACACTTTCGCTCTAATAACGGATCCATAGTTCTGATTTATTTTATGCATATTCTAGGACATTTGAGGTTCAGCAAACCATATTAAACTAACGTAAATGGTTCAAGAGAACTGAATTAGATCATTTTAGATTCACCACAACTCGAAGTCACAATACCGAAAAAATTATCAGCTAATCACAAAATGCTGCGGCAGAAATGAATCCAGTGAGGCACAAACTGTCCGTACACAGCATGGCTGATGGAACCGATGATAGAATGCACAGTTTTTACGAGCGTCAAGGCCATTAGGCGCCTTTTTAGGAATGATTGGGTACTTGTCTGACGTACAGTCGATATCTCTCTACCAAACTGTTTCAAGATGTCGAAAAGTTGCTTCCGCCGTCGGCTTGACCAATGACCGGATCATGTACTGTTTATGCAGATACTTCTAATTGTCTGAAAATCAATTAAAAGGCATTGTCGACACGAGTTATAGGTGTATAAGCGATGAAGTATATCTAAGCAGACTTCGGGTTATAGTCGCGAAGGTTATTCTGCCTAAAGACAGCAGTAAACGAGTTCGATGTGCTAAACAGGGGAGCAGAGGCGAATGGATCGTCTCTCAATACTGGATACGAGGTTTTGTTTCAACAATTCTTCAGCACACACTCGTAGGCTGTCTTGTTTCAAGAGGATTACTATGTCCTTGATAAGGAACTTCATGCCTAAACGATTGCGCAATCACTCACTTATTGCAGTTGTTGTGTCTGAGCGAATTAGAAACTGACCGTATATTTTACGTGTCATTCGACGTCGTGTTACCCTTTGGGATAGACGTTACATACACGCAGCTAAATGTAGGCCTATCTATCGAAAATAGTTATTCTTTAATGTAACAAAGTACAATACAGTTATATATGATTTGTATCCTGGACTAATTTTCCAAGCCGCAACAAACATGGATGCCAACATCCGGCGTGTCGGAAGCCGTGGCCGATTTCTACTAGGCCTTTCTCTGCTCTTCCGTTGAGCTGAACGAGATGTGAACGTCTTTTGATGAAAATTTCCATGAATATCATTCTGGCACACATATATATGCTAATGATATCCAGCGTAACGCTGAAACATTTTAAACAACTGTACACTCTATTTACTTAGATACAAATATAATCGAAATAAACCAGGACATTATTGAGATGAAGAACATTTCGTATACTATGCATTGATCTCTAGATAACAGATATACGTGTATGGTACAATAGCATGTTTCTGAAAACCCCCCAGAAAAAAGAATAGCCTAGCATCTCCTTTGTCTACGGCAAACGAAATATGCTTTCCTAGAATAATGCATTTTACCTTACGTGTGTTTGTTGCAAGATTGCCTGATCCGACCCTTTTATGTCTACTGTGCGTACTATATTCACTGCTCCAGTCAGCAAAATCGGGCACAGTATTCCCTCTGAGAGCAGAGTTGTGGTTTGTTTGCTCAGACAACCCGAGTGCTTCTGAAAAGGCCATACCTCTCAAAGCTGTCTTACTTAGCATTATTCGACCGAAGTTCTAACAACTCTTTTTTTTTTTACACTACGATGACCTCTGCCTAATCCAACGGGTCATCTATATCAGGCAAACTTTGATCGTGTAGCACCTGTTTGCTCTAATAAAAACTTAAGGAAGAGCTAAACAAGAGGCTTGACTTTAATAGTCTTTTGTTTATGAAATGTGAAAAGTGCGGCCCTGATCGCGATGGACAAGCTGGCCGATACTGTCAACCAGTACGAAAACTACACGTTGGATAGACACTACAGCGATAGCATAGTATACAGATATCAGGCGTACATTTTCCTAGTTTTCACGCATTGATGTTACAGTTTTTTCCTTTATTCCTCTGTCTATTTTTGGGACAACCTTGCAGTACAGAAAACATGCTATAAAAGCTACCGTTTTTCCAATTTAAGTTGCTCTCGGTTAGCTAGCCGAGAAGAAAATTTCCAAATTGTAAACTATCCTAAAAAATTCTGACAAAATAGTCAGCTGGTTTATTTCGAGGCTTAGCTGGGCTGGGTTGTCAAGAAGCTGCAGCTTCCAGAGCCTTCAGAGTTCAACAATGAAAGCTTCGATAACTGGAGCTAACTTTATTGATATTTTATTATTAGCATCAACACTGCTGATGAGCAAGTCACTCATCAGCAAGACGATCTTCTGTGGTTATCGTACGATCTGTTACATTCTAGTGCTTCGGGTGCAGATAAATGGGCAGCTATTTATGCTGGATAGCTCCGACCTGATTCAAGTCGCTCAGTGCGGGGTAGATGAGCCCCTTATACGATTGCGACGCCACCTGATCTGCTAAATCGAGCTGAACCACAAACCCCCGTCAAAGCCGCTCAATAAAATATTATCCACTTGGGAAAAAGTGCTATTATTATATTGAAAGCGGTTTCTTCTCGACCGTACAACGCGAACGTATTTACGCTAATGAAAACAACAATCGTTTGGCGCGCAAACGTCCTAAGTAGCGATTGTTATTATCTATAAAGTTTTGCAACGGCGTTTGTCGTTAGCTATGTTTTCTCTTCAAGCATTTTCCTAGAACCCCCTTTGAGCTCTTTTTCTGGCGTATTTGTTTTTACGCAGATTTTAATAAATCAATCGGCTGAACATGCTCATTGTCTAACTAACAATAATAAACTGGCCATAGCCACGTTTGTCCATGTGGTGGCCGAAGCGTCCGTACGCACACGTAAATTCATACGGATGGCGTGCTTGATGCGGTTTTGTCTATACCATGAATAGGAGATGAATCAAAAATGGATAAAATGGTGACAGACAAGGGTAAGCTTGATTTTAAGTATAATTTTAGTTGAGAGAAAGTTATAGTTATAGTATAAAAGTAGGCGAATCTAAAAAATCCATTCGAGTTCTTGCTCAGCGCGTGCATAAACTACATCAGTAGATTTTAGCATTGCTGACAGCCGATTTCTGCTTTTGTATGATGGCAACTCAATTTGCTTTCATATTAATAACTCTGAGAGTTCGATTCTGTATGTTACAAATTAGCTAGCATATATGTACGGTCCTTACATAAATATTAAGCAAGAACCGCTAACTGAGACAGACTGGATATTTGGTTTTCTTTGTCTAATAGTTGCCTAAAAAAAATAGCCCGCTCATCAAGCCAAGAAACTCGTCAGACCACAAGTAAATCCTGAGATCTGCGTTATTTTACTGGTAAATATTGTGTGATACCACCTGAATAAACTTCGGACGATGGAAACGATTAACCCGGACGGCTAATCCGTTTTTATTTTATTTTTTTTTTATCTCTATAGCTACTTTTATCTCTTATCTTTATCCTTTCAACTCCACAGCTGTTCGAGGTGCTATGTGATATAAATCTTGATAGTACGCGTATTTACGGAAGTAATTATTATAGTATTTGCGTCCCTGCAACATTAACACCTTATCTAAACTATATTGACCTAGCCACCCATGGACCTTTGCCATCAAACTCGATGAGTATAAAAATCTATAACTGCGTTTTTTAATGTTATTTGTACAGCTGCTCTGTTCGCCCTGAGGGAATACATATTTGCTCAGTTAAACTTTCAAAGACATGTTAGTAGTTAAGCCGCTTGAGCAATGGGGTAACTATGCGGACAAAATAATCTCGTTCGTACCGGACTTCAGGCGATGGAACCGCCCACACGCAGATGGCGATGATCACGAATAGGTTAAAGGCTGCCGAGCCCACAATGGTGCCTGGACCGAGATCGCCAGCTTCGAAATTTTCGGCATAAATCTCGATCACCGAAAGGAGAATTTCGGGTGCCGAAGAACCGAGAGCCATCAATGTTAGGTTTGACACGGTCTCATTCCAGACACGGACCGCAATCAGCTGTCTTTCCCCGTCTGGTGTGGTAATGGTCACCTGTGAGCAAATAATGAATTAGATGCTAGTTATTTTTATCTTAGTTAATTACTTTAAGTTGAACCCGTGCTCACATTTGAAATTCCCCTATTCATCCGCAGGTGGTACTATGTTGTCCGTTCACCAGCTGTTTAAGAATGGCGATCATATAACGGAGTTAGCCATGTTTCTAGCTAGAAGATCATTTTTCGAAGGGCCAAAGTTCAGCTGCCCAATAGATGGGTCAACTCTGTCGCTGCAGTGGACTTAAACAAGTGGACTAAACGAATGTTGATATAAGCAGTCACAGGAGACATTCTGACGCACTGAGTTGGTGGCACATAAAATAATATAAAAAACCGTAGGGGTTCAAGCGTCTTGCATACTTTAGATATGATTGTAAGACTTGGCTGACCGGCTTTCGTTCCGCTAATTCCTGTCCCATTTGTCCATATCAGTCGAGATTATTAAGACACTTCGTGTTTGCGTAATGCAATTCATAAATATCGTTTTATAGCTGTGGCGTCCACTTAAACTAGTAGCGTTACACATATAAGTACAATTTACTCTTCGAATAAATCCCATGTACGCCACCACGCATTTTACCTGTTTTAGGGTTTCAGGCAGCTCTTCTGATACGCATGCGTCGAATCCCCAGCCCAGTGTACCCAGCCCATTGCAAGATAAGATAATGGCAATTATCCACTCTTTCTACAACCGTTTGCCGAGTAGAAGATCAATATTAAAGGCTGTTTTTGTCAAATCGGAACTTCGGGGCTTTCTAGCGCGTTTCACACAGCAGAGAACTGCGGTGTATCGTTTGTCACTGGTATAGTTTGAGGTGGACAGCGTTGCATGGAAATCGGTTCTCAAATTAGAATAACCTGCTTGATTGGTAAGAATGTGGGCAAATATAAATACTATTTGCTGCGGTGAAAGTATCTTCGCAAGATAATCGATGGTGTCAAGGACGGGTCGGGAAGCTGCTTACGGAAAACAGAACCTCATATATCCAGCACGGCTAAGTGCACATTTCTATGTTGTAAATGCGTTAGCCAGAACAAGGGGAAAATACTGCGTCTAAAGCTGTTTCCAAAGGTGCTATATTGGGGAGGCATAAAGCTACGTGGGTTACTGGTAAGGTCAAAAAATTTGCGTTTTACAGGACAGCTCACCGAAGCACCAGAGAAACCTTTTGAATACCTCTGTCAAAAAGATGTGAGTTAGATCGTAAAAAGAAAGAAAAGAAAAACAAAAGATCTGCAAAAGTTTCCATTCGAAAGCTTAGTTAAGCATGCAAAATTCACGTGAACGACCCGAATGTCGCAGGGAGGAGAATGCGACCTTATATCTATATAAAGTTAAATGATGCATCATCTTGTCGTACCTAAGCGGCCTAAAAGGCCTCATGCCATCTCTGTACTGGCTTGTGTTTATCGTGAAATTTTTTACTATTTGACGTCTTCACTATAGTGAGGATTATTGCACAAAGCGGCTAGTCTCAATAAACGCACTTGTCGAACGCCAGAAGACTGTGTGTCTTTACGTCGAGCTATGAATATGGACTTGTTTAAGTAGCATAGTTACGGTCATCTTGTCCCATACGACGAACACCGTTTCTGTTTGCCAATTAATGGGGGTCGTGCGCACAGAAAATAACGACATACTGATTATTTTCGACACATTTTATTTTTATGATAATTGAAATTTCTAGCTTTATCCATAGACCTACGTCAAATTATATTTCAGCGTCCCCCAGCTGAATTTATAGTACCCAGCAAGACGAACAGTTCCTAATAAGTAATACAAATATATAAGCTCACCATCCTTATTTTTATACTTACTAAACTGAGCTTATATACTAGGAATAAGGATGGTGTTTTAATACCTGACATGTCAAGCCGTCGGCACAATGGAATATTAGTCAAGACTGCTCGTGGAGCTAACTATACGCTCGGTACTTATACTTAAGATAAGTATATAGACATCTCACCGAAAGCGTGAACTTGCGTATGAATGAATTAACTCGTAGAAATTATTAAACCGTTTTCAGATTCGAGGAAACGTAGAACGTAATCAATGCGTCTAAATATAGAGCAAACAGACGCGTGGAAAATTCGTATCGACGTCATCTAGCTAAGAGCATTAGTGAGCTTTTCCAATACCTTTTATTTTGTACGAATAACGCGTTCGGGTCGGAGTGACCCAGAAAGCTAGACGCATAGACCCCACTCGCCAGCTGGTAGAAAGGCTACCCGCCGACTGGTTGAGCAGTTAAGGACAACTCTGATTTTGAATCATACATCCCCGCTTCTGCTTAAGCAATATTGTGGCCTTCAGGCGAATACCAACCTTTACAACCAAATACTACGGTACTTGCCCTCTTACAGGATCTATCTCTATCTCTAGCCTCTATTTAGATATAAAGTATGTTGAACGGAAACTATCTCCGTTAGCCTGATATTGATTATCCAGTTCTTGGCCTTGCACTTATTGCATTTGCGCGCGGGTTGTTAGTATATAACTAGCAAAAAATGACATTTTCAGCATTTCGAAAAATTTATAGCCACACAATGTGTGATACGAATCTGAAACGAGATCTATTAGATGTCATCATGATTTCTCAAGGATGAAACTCCTAATTTAGAGCGATCATTTGATGTTATCTTACCTTCTAAGTCGTTGCTTCGGTCACACGAGTGACAACAAAGGGTGTCTCTGTCTATGGGAATCATACTTACAATCTTCTTGGACATAAACCTCTACTTAAATCACGGCGTTCATATAGATTGTTTTCATAATTATTTAACATTGTTGATTAAGCTTTTGCCTAGAATAGGCGCACCGACTAATCTCGGCATAAGGACGGTTCGGGATTGCAGTTAGGATTGAATGTATTCAAACGACGGGCTACCAAAAGCTGAGCCCCAGTCGGCAGTCTCCTCATCAACAAACGGTATGTAAACAGACAATATTCCTCATTTGTATAATTCATTCATTCATTCATTCATTCTGGCTTCAGACTGCCTTACAGTTACTAAATAATAATAATAAACTAGTAACTACAACATTATCCAGTAAATTTTCCGTTCAAGTTTTCACGTTACCACAGCTAGCGTGAATTTAGCTTATGATTAGTCCTTATTTTGCACTGGCCGTGCTCGTAATTGGCGTCAACGTCGGCCACTTATTCCTAGCCTAGTTGACGCCGCCACTAGCTGATACGGCTAAAAGTCTGTACCACTACAGTTTGATTACCGAAAATCGTCGGCTTTATGTGTCACTCATCTTACCTCTTGGCACGAGTCTATTGCTCCGAATTTAATCCGATATTCATATAACGCTGCGCTGTACCCTGTATAAACTGTGTTTATAATAATATACGTAATTTTCTTCTTTTACTTTTTGTAGTGCGATTTGTCCGAGTGTAGCTTTTGCACCGAAATTGTTCTTATCGTTCCGCACATATAACTGTGGACTACGTATATGACAGATATCAGGTTAAAGTCAAATTGCAATGGGTTAGAAGGCCCCGATGCCGTGAAAGCGACCATGTTGGGTTGCCATTGGGTCATGGATTTGTCGCATATCAGTGTCGAAAGCAGAATACGAACCCATCGGGGCGATTAGAGCAAATATAGTAGTCTGCCAGCTTGTTACTTGAATCAGTACCTGCGGTAGGAGGTGTGGTATAAGTCTAGGTCGGTAACGCCCATATCTGAACACATTGCTGTGCTACCTACGACTAACAAGCATGCTGTCGCGCCGGTTGAAATTTCAGCGTTGGCCAACATTATTACCAGAAATAAATAATTACGAAAAACGTACTAGGAAAAAGGAAAGAATTAAGGAGAAATTAAAATTTGGATGAATAGTTGTTCCAATGGTCGCTATGCCGTCTCATTGCTTTGTAGAAGAAACCCCGGATGAGTCGAGCGAGATCCACCCAGGTTGGACTCCTATGTGGAGCAAGCCCTTAGTCCTATACCTAGAAAAAAGAGGTGATTTCGAGGAGTTGCTTGTATAGAGAGAATAATTAATTTTTAAAATCTCTCAAGCCGCAAGAGGCGCTACGGTGCCCATCACTAATTTACTGTAATCGTCAGAATTCACAAGTTTAAATCCACTTTTTAAATACATAACACCATGAGCCATGCTAATCGACAGGGATGGTTTCGCGCGTACATTTCAAAGGCACCCAGCTAGCTTTCAGTCACAAACGATGATTAACTTGTCATACCGTATGTACAAGCAAGAGGGGCAGAAATACGTCGCCTGCGCAAAAGTAAGGTTAGTGTAAGACCAATTAGTCGATTCATTGCTTCGTTCGATACTAAAACTCAACTCCTAGCTGAGAAATGAATGCAAGGAAAGTCCAAACGGGCTAACCTCCGGTACGGTACCTCTGGATACTTCCGGAGTGCATTTGAGGAAATTAGGGCGATTTTGATGTCTTGTATGTCTATAGAAGGGTCTGCGCAGACGCTGCCTAGGCCCGTTGTCAACCAAAATTGAGGGAGTCGTCAGGTTAGTAGATAAAGGATAGACAGAGGGTCGCTTGTGAGAATTCACGCTAGTAACCCAACCTGAACAGAAACGATGCACGAATCACCAAATTAGACAAATATAGCAGCCATTAATGCCGTACAAAAGATAAGTCTCAACAAAACAACCATTTAGCCATGACACCAACCCGTTTCAAGATGAACCTATTCGGCTCGTGTTATACCTAAAGCACTGTGACCTATGGTTCGATTGCAGGTTATTATTGCAGGCCAGTTATTTCATCACTGATATTCGTTTGCAGTAGTTCTATTTCTGTGACTCAGTACCCCAGCAGTTATGTCATAACTTTGTCCCGGCGATTGCTTACCAAGTGGCCCGGCAGAAGCCGCGTTACCCTACTGAAATAACCCTAAGTTTTTATTGACATAACTTAATAACTTTGCTGCTTGCTTGCAGTCATACCCTGTGTCCTATTGCAGCTTCATAGCACTTCACTATGTTATATCCGCCACTAT